ATATACCTACTACCTTCATAAACATGCGAAAAATAAAAAATAGATAGATACGCGCGCACGGTATATCGTGGGAATTTCACGGGTCAAATGGCAACGGGAATACGCCGTTGCTATCTACAGGAATTAATGGCGCCCGCGGTGTAATTGGTATTTCAACCAGACGCAGAGTTTTCCCTCGAAGAAGCTTCTATATAGAGGTAGATGCCGTGGTGCCGAGTTTGGAAGTTCGATGAAGTTTGATTATAAAGTTTCGAAGTGTTTGATCAACGGAGTTCAAAACACGTCTGATTATCGTGGCTCGAAAATGTTCAGCGTAAAATTGCCACGCGGTAATACGATCAACGAGTTTTGATTCGATCCCGCTGCGTATCCAGTGAATCGTGCCTGGGACGAAAGAATTCTGGAAGTATATATAATATTCTCCGGTCAATGGAATCGAGACTGTAACCGAAAGTTATACCCCCTGATCCGAAAGGAAAATTATCGACGTCAGGCGAAATAGACGAGAACAGAAAGGCTCTGATACCGGTTCTACACGCTCCTGCTCATACGCACGGGTGTGTGTCAGCTATTAATACCCCACAAATTATAAATAATGTCGTGGACGCGACCACAAATCAACGTTTACTGGTAATACCAGGGCGTGGGGCTTTCGACCCGTCGGAGGATTAAACGGTTCGCCAGAGAAACGCTTACCGGCAGGCCGAAGGCAAGATGAAAGGGGATGGGACGAGCGAGACAAGAGTCGATTCCACGTCCGACTGCGATCGAAAACTGAAACCCCGGGGGAGAAGTGGATCCGCGGCGTTAAACCTCTTTCCACAGAAATGCGCCGCTTTTGTGCGAAATGTTCACCGATAATATCGAGGCTGCTCGGAGTAATATCGATATTGGTATCGCCTTCTGCCCAGCTAGGGCGCGGCGAATCGCACGAAGGAAAAAGGAAGGCGGGTTTAATCTTGACAAAACATTAGGAACAAAAAAAAGCACGAAATGTAAAACGACACTCGGTCTACCTACGTCCTCGATATTCTTGTAGCTCGAACTGGAATAAAGTGAAAATGTTGAACAGAGTTCGGAGACTAAGGGGTGGTGGCTGTGGACCTTATCTCTCTCTCTCTCTCTCTCTCTCTCTCTCTCTCTCTCTCTCTCTCTACGAACGACCTTCACGTTACAGTATTTTCGTGTTTACGTATTATATCGTTCTCCAGTTAGAGAAAACTTTCTCCCTTCCAGGAATTACCCCGAGCAACCTGGAAGCTCGGGGGCCAGGGGATTAGGACGTAGAAACTGCTGAAGAATCCTCAGTTTATGTTTCCCTGCGCCTTGATAAAAGGATTCCAAAGCGACTGGTATCATTACTGCCACGAATGTTCTGACTTTGCGCGGCTAGAAGAAGAAAACAAGGTTTCTCGTAGGGGGAGGAATGGGACGGTCGAACGTTACCGAGTTCGCGAAGTACGAGTTATCGGCGAAGTTTCGCGTAATTGCGCATCAATGTCCTTCGAGGGGACAGTCTCCCCGCAGGACCAATAAGGTTCGACCAGCACGCTACAACGAACGGAATAAGAAAGGAGAACAGCGAACAGACGGCAAGATGCCACGACGAGATAACGAATGCCCGCGTCGCGGATCTTGTCTCGTTGTCTTCGGGCAGCGACGCGGTGCGCCTAGCATCGGGCACCGCGACGGTTCCACGGGAAGCGAGAACCGGCGAGGAGAAACACCGTCAAACAGATTGAAATCAACGGGAAGCGACTTCTATTTTCTCCTCTGCACTGTGCCAGAGCCAGATCTGAAATGAAAATCTGTGGCCCCGCGAGCGAGGAACCGCAAGATAATTCAACGGGAGGAACAGAGAAAGGAAAAAAATGAAGAGAACTGGTCGAGGAAGGGGATGTACAGCATCCTTGTACACGATCTTTCAACGGATTTCAAACGTTCGTTCCGTCAGGCCGATCAAAATGTCCGACTGACAACGTGACTAAATTACGAATCTCATTTAAGTACTACGAGTCCAATATGCTCGCGCTCAGGGTAGAATCGAAAAGTTTCGATTTGTAGGCTAAGAACGTTTCGATATTCAATTAACGATTCTCTATATATTCGTTACTTTCGAAACTGATATTACGCTTAATAATCGTAACTGGAGCGAGATAGAACCGGTATTTTATCGTTTCTGGCTGCGCGAATCATCTTTCACAAACCAGAGATGGAAAAAACAAGAAAACAAGGGAAAAAGAGAACGGTCCGGGAAAAAAAAGATGGGGAAAAAAGTTTTCCGTTATCAGATAGAATTCTAGCGTGACAAAAAATACGAGAGGAAAGAGAGCTTTAGCTCGCGTGAATCTGCCCGGTAAGCGTTTTTTCCCTAACTCCGACACAGAGGAAAGGTGGAGGGAGGGAGCAGCGACAGAGTTTTCAGTTATGGGGAAAATTTTTTTACACAATCCGAAGTCTGGTTCGAGGACAGAAAATTTCGAAAAAAAAAGAAGAAACATCGTGCTCTCGAGTTTGAAGTCCCGCGCTCTTACGATCGGTAAATCGTTTTCCATCCTTCGATATCCGCTAACTTACAAGCTTCGCTACTTTCACGACGAAACGCGTTCATTCGTCGTGTTTCATCGTCTCCTTTTTTTTTCTTCTTTTGCTCGTATCCACTTTCGACTTTCATTTCCTAACCGTACGAACTTTCGATTAAATTTTCACAGAGGACCTGGCGCGCGCGAGAGAGTAACGCTCGCCGAAGTAGCCCGAGTAATTCCAATCCGAACGCCTCGTTCCTTTGACGCGACTCGCCTGCGACTAATGTAACTCGTGCATATTCAAATTCGCAATTCGAGATGTACGGAGTGGTTCGAAACGATTTAGGAAAACATTACCGATCATTACGATAATATCCTAAAATTATAAATTTCAAAGTGCCCGCCGTTTAACACACTCACCATCAACAATGCAGACAAAATTTCCAAAGTTGTGGAACCATGTTTCATTGTAATTCGATTAAAAATTCTATTATTCATATATAAATACGAGTATACCATGGAATTTTGAACAGTAGAAACTGCAGAAAGAATGCTTTTTCAGGTTTACTTAGTTCTCCAACAACATCTTCTCTTGAACAGAGATCGAATAAGCTAAACAAACTTTAATCCTACATTTCGGAAACACCCTGTATTCCCATGTTGCCATCCCGAAACGATACCGAAGGCTTTAACTGCGACTAGTACGATCATACTATAATACAGTCGGCTTACTTGGCCCGCGACACAAGACGCGCACGCTTAATCCGCGTTTGACGCTCGCTAGCCTGTTGGCTAGATACAGACGACCGTGCGATATTGCGCCAAACCGAGCAATTACTGTCGGTAATCTCGCTAATAGAATTCCAATATGCGTGCCAATTGAACCGAGGCGCCATGTGGCCGTGCGGGCGTGAATCTACAGATTGTACGCGCACGACGAAACCCGTGACACGGTTCAGCCATTAACTATGGCCTCGCTTTATTTCGACCCGCTTCTTTATGCGTGTGCCGCCTAGGGCGCGCTCTTTCTGGGAAAACTGCAACGAGGCCAATTTCGCCGATATATCTCAATATAAAAAGTCGTAACGGAAATATACGGTTGCTTGCAACCAAGTGTAATAAAGATCTAGGCTCTAGACACCTGTGAGCCTTGATGTAAATTCACTTTTGTACGATTCATCTAGACTATGGATTCAATGCATTTATGATGCATACAAACACAATAAAATATACACTCTGATGAAGATTAATAGAATTTCTAATACAATTTTCCACTTAGCAAACACCGTAATTGTGAAAATAAACTTTTGTTCGTAATAGAGTTGCGCGTTACATTGTGATACATTTATAGGGCCGTCAACGCTTTTTTTCTTATTAGCTACACTGCTTGGAATACTACAAAGTTTACTTTTTAATATGATTTACTTCCGCCCAGAGAAAATCGTAAAGTTGAGTGTATTTCATTGCGGGCCGGAAATATATGACCTCTTAATGCAGCCGTGTGTACTCGTACACGGTATATCCATTTAACGGAATGAAAAGATGGTATTTCGTTACTCATTTCAGAAGTTCTACCTCGAACCCAGTATACCAGGTAGGAAATAAATGTAATTGCGCGGTCTGGCGAATGCACAGCACAACGGTATCAAGGAACCGAGGTGATATACAGTGGACTCGGATAGGATCCTACCTTGTTAATTGGACTCGGTACGATGATGCTGCCGCGCGAATTGTTCGCCACGAAATTACTTCGATATGTCGTCGTTGTCGTCGTTTTGTAGGATGTTGCAGCGTTATCTGGGACTGCACGAATTTTCTTTCTTCGGGTTCGTTACGATCTTGCCAGCGGCGGTTAAACCGTTAACACCGGCACACTACGCGAAACAAATCAGCAACCGAACGTGCATCCGGTCATAATTACTGCGCACACAGCGCTAAAATTTAAACGTAAAAATGTCAACGTAGTCCCCGAAGGAATTTAAAAAACGGACAGACTCCAATGTCACGTATCAGCTACAAATTACTGGCCTCATCGGACCGTAAAATAAATTTCACACCGATTCATTGGACGATTACATTTAATTGCGTCCAATTAAATCGCCATTCCAATTAAAATTGACGTGAACATGAGAAACTCATTACGATTTATTGGGCCATCGATAACGACCCATCTCGCTGTTCGTGGTCGATATATATCGCGAATAATCGATAGTGCTTCCCGGGAAAAATTTTACGCAACGTATTACCAAAGGTACTATTTTATAGTTTAATTATGGTAAATATTGAACATTCTAATAATAGCATTAACTGTTGCACTTTATCTGTGAGTAATTATTAAAGAAATACAAGTGAAAACGTTTAGTAACACTCAATACATTTGCCTTAAGTTTGTAGTTTAACCACTAAAATAGGTTATACGAAAAAAAGCTAGTACATTTTTATTTAATTTGAAATTACACAATTACACCTTGCCCACTTCGAATACGCTCCTAAGAAAAGTTGGTAAATGTTTACAAACGATTCTTCGATTTTCACCACATACTTATAAATGCTTAAATAGTTCATTGACTAGTCGGTGGAGATTCACCATTGTCATATTGGCTCTTATTCCTTAATAGATATCCAGCTAGAAAGCTGATAGGATCGGCAGGTCTTTCCTTGGCTAAACTGGACAGTGCTTGTAGCAGGATTGGCACTACCGTCTGATCGAGGTACTGCCTTGTTGGAAGAGATTGCACTTCAACGCGCGACTTCTTTGGTGCCACACCAGTCAAATCAGAATCTTTATTCATTGCTAGTGTCCTCTGCAAAGGTAAGAAACAATTCCATGTTACTATACATTTTAAACATCTTTGTGGACGCTTTCTCAATAATGTTTATTATAAATTATTGAAACCAAGAACATGATTCTCATAAGCATACGATTAAAGGTACAAACCAACTGAGTTGTACACATAATATATACACTTGACATGAATAAAAACAAACTGAAATTTCAATATAACAGCTGTCACTTAGATTGGCGGGAAATGTTAAAATTATTTAAAATGAACGGGTCTTTGTAAATTTTAACTTGCGAGATCAATCTTGCATGAAGGTAACGCACGATTTAGATCGTTAAACCACGAAATATTGGATGCACGAAAGAGTTAGAAGAAAACAAAAAATGTGGCAGGTTACACATCGATTTATAGGTTATCTAACTTACTTGCGTTGCTTCGCTCACGACATTGGTGAGGGGTTGTGCGGGCGTCGCCGGCTCGGTTCTTTCCTCCGTCGTGTTCTCTGTCGTTACGGGATCAACAGATTAATTAGGTTCGTTATTGTAACGAGTTTCCGTCCGAAACGTATTGGTGAAGGCTACCTATTAAACCATAAAAAGCAAAATAAACGGATACCTACCACCGCCGGACGCCATCGTGCAAACAAATGATACTACCAACTACGGCGACTTATCACTGCACGAGCGCTATTCAAATGTCACCACACGAACGAACTTCGACGCGGTATCTGTGAAAAATCCTTCAAAATTCATACAATTACGATTAAATGACACGTTGTTTTTGTAGTACTTTACTATAGGCTTTAATAGTTTCTCACATAGTATTAAATGCGTTCAAAAAATGACTCTAAGGTAGTATTTAAACATTCAAGAAATGATCCCAGGTGGACCAGCACTGATAGGTATTTAGATATTTGCAAGAAAGGACAACCAAATCTTGTTTTTTTTTTAGTTTTATTTATTTAACGTAAAATTAGACGCTACGACTTTGGTACAAAAACATAAAACAGTGGTACTGAGGAAACGGTGTACTGTGAGCGGATCCTCGAGTCCCTACGAACACGGAGAAATACGAGTATCGTTGTACGTGAATGTAAAACTTACGGCCAATTTAAAGGCGAGCACAGAGCGCAACAGAAGGGTACAAATGACGAAAGGTCCCGAGTCTGCTTGCAACCGAGAAGAGAAAACGATACGCGCCCCGTCGAAGGTGAAGCTCGAAGAACCGCCCCGTTTATTCCACGAAACGAACATCCATTATTCCAATGAATAAAGCATAATATATGTATAATGTATAACGCGGACGGCGGCACCGACCGTATTGTTTCACAGCATCTTCAAGAAAAAGTAACGTTAAACCTTGCGAAGTAAAACGATTCCAGATCGATCACACAAACCATAACGACAAACGAGATTAATTCCCCGATGGATAAATAGAAGAAAGCTATGCGACATACCGCGGACATCACGTTTTCATTTCATGTTTTCGATTCTCTTATTTTAATTGCCGACTGTCGCGTGCGCACGCCGGACAGTCGATTGCGCACGTTTAATATCGAATAAGTTAAATATCTGTCGGTTTCTCGTCTTCTTCTTCGTTTCATTTTCAATCGCGTAAAATTCCAAAAGCTTCAAAAGCGAAAAGCCCCCGCGAGCGTTAAGTTAAAACGTGATATACATCGTAAAAGGTGACTTGGATATGGCTACATTTAAAGTGGTAGTGTGGAGCGCGATCGTAAACACCTACACGAGACACGAGACTTTTGCGCAGCCTTTAAAATCACATCGATGAGTAAAAAGTGCGTCGGCGAGCCGAGTTGCAGGCCAGCGATACGAATTGGGAGGGTAGGAAGTCCTCGATCGCCATTGAAATGAGGAGAGACAAAGAGAGATAGAGAAAAAAAGTGAAACGTTCACGGCCAAAGCACCCCAGCAGTGCCAACGTCGTCCACGACGAGGCATCTCTTTAGCCGTGACATCTCCACGACTGGTGTACCACTCGTGCATCGCCTCGGCAAATAAATGCGACACCTAGACATACCTACTTACAACGTATGTGTATGAACGTCAATGTATACATATATATATATTTATATATTTGTATATATCTAAATAGTGTTGTCATAAAAACGAGCTATGAGACACGCGCCGTGACCGTATCCTGGCGTTGCATCGAGCAAAACAGGGGATCCCATATATCCAGGAAAACATGTTTGACTTTTTTGCTTTTCTCTTATTCTTATTCTTTCTCGTTAGCACGCCACGCGAACTATTCTTTTTTTCTTATTATTTATTGTTCATTTACCGTCCAAGCTCGACGCGTCGCCGTTCAACGAAAGAGAAACGGCGCACCTCGCGACCATATCCGTCCGGCTTAAAAGCTACTTACGTTTAAATCGGTTTGAATTGCTTACACGTTATAATATCATCGTCGTATTATCGTTAAATTCACGTTAATTGATCGAGATTAGCTTGCAGGATATATGTGTGTGTACAGCGGACTAAATATCATATAGGACGATTAAAAAATCGACAGCGAGCGTGGTGTGTGTGTGTGTGTGTATGTGTTTGCTTGCTTGCGGTTTTAATAATTTTTTCAAATTCGCTCGCGGCGTTACTGTGGTGCTGCGAATCAGCTGAAATTTCATACGATCGTGTTCTCCCAAAAGTGCGTTTACGTGTGTATAATGTGTTAGCGTGCCGCGATTCCTTCCTACGGACAGTCGATCGGTTTTGTTCCGCGAGGGTTCGGAAGAAGTTTCGGTAGACGCGACCACGACCACCACCACGGCATCGATGCGATCTTGCCTGTTCCTCTGAACCTCTACTACTTGCTACGTACGACGACTACGACGACGACGCACTCTCTGCGACACTGTCGCAAATAACACCGCTACCAGAACTTGCTCTCCGCGAACGTCGAGACTCAAGATCGTCGATCACCGAAAAAGGGGGACACAACCTTCGTTACGAAAATTATAAATCGTATATATGTATATGTATGTATGTATAATATCATTATATGTGTATGTTCGTATAATATCATAATGCCTGCGGGGAGCGGCAGTGTGGCACAACCATGACTTAAAAAAGCGAATAACTAATATATTCATCTCGTGTTTTAATTCCCGTGACTCGTGGCGCTTGGAAGCGACAATCGTAACCTAGGACACATCTCGCGAAGACCCCCGTGTGTGTGTGTGTACGTGTGTGTGTATACGTGTTTGTATAAAGAATTCATCGTCGCTGAGAGCACGCGTCGCGGGCCGAATCCTCTCTGTCGCGGTTTCTAAACCATCCACGAACATGCCCGAGTGTGTCCGCCATCTTGGAGAACGGGACACCTCGCGGCACGATCGATGTAGGGTCTGTCGATCGTGATTACGGATCGTCGACGCGATACCCGTCTCTCGCAAGTAAATGTTCCCTTCCTCCTCGTCCAGTTCGGCAGTCAATTAATTTGGCAGTTTCGTCATCTGGCCTTGTCGACGGTTGAGCAACAAGAAATGAGCGATCGAATGATTAAGAACGAATGCGAGATCGAAACAAGAGAAAGGCCAAAAAACCGGTGTAAAATGATATGGTCGTGGACGAAGAGGAACAACGGTCCCTTGAAGAGACCAAGTATCGCCGTCGATAGTGACGATCGGTTATTGTTCTTCTGTTTCAATTCAGTTGCGAAACCGTTCGACGAGCATACACTTTACGCGGCAGACCGAATCTGTGTCTACTCGCGACGATGTGGTGATTTTAATCGTAAATCGTTGCAATTTGGACCGACGACAGCACCGGGGGAAGAGTTAGCGTGCGCACTCGTTCCGCTTCTCTCGAATCTTCGACCACTGGCGACGAGAGAGACGGAAGACCACGGAAGATGATTTACAGGTTACACTGCCACAGTATCGTAGGGTGTGAGGAGTCCCCCGTGACCGCCGTGGCTGGCGGCGGTTTGCCGGCCGGGGGCTTCGTTTCTGCAACAGGCAGTTCAGATTTTTAATCTTCCTCGGGATACACACTCTCGTGGTCCCTGTTTATTTTTTTTTCCAATCGGTGCCCACTCTAAACGCTAATCCACGTGCAGACGCTCTCGCGATTTTCGACGGGGCGACTGGATTGCATCTAAACAACAGCAACTAAAATATTCTGCACGTGGCACATCGACGCATGCAACTAGCTGCACTCGAGTAGTATACACTTATATAAGACGAACTATAGCATTAATAAATACGAGAATGGAAACGTTTTCCATTTTTTTTTTTTGTAGCGTAGGTGGTTAATGGTTAGTAGCACCAGCAGCAATGGCGGCAGGATCTGTAGCAACGGCGGGAACTGCGGCGGAAACAAACTTGATGCCGATCGTGTATATATACACGAGTCGACGGTGATCTAGTAAACTTATTAGTGTTCAAACCAAGGATATCACATTTAGCCGGTTATCACCGTAATCGCATGCAAACACATGATGATACAACAAGCGGTTTTACGACCCAGGTAGAGATCTCGTTGGTACGGAAGCAATTCGCTGTCGAAGCATTGACTGACCTATTCTCGTGGCCACAAACAAAAAATAAACTAACTAAGAACAGATTCAACGCAGCTTCTAAAGCTTTCTCAAGATCATCTCTAACGCGGACTTGCCGGTTGCGGGAAGTGCACCCTGCTTTTGTAAAATTATTGATTATAGTCTAACGAACTTACGGCTTCCTGCGTAAAGAGTCATGAAACAAGAAAAAGTCAGAGATAACGTTAAGTAGGTTGTCGAAAAGAGTTGTTCAGTTGTTCGTTTGCGGAACCACTGTGCACTCGATCACCATTATCATTTCGATGCTATACCCACGGTACTTGTAACGTTACTCGAAGCCAATTCAAAGTGAACTCGACACCAATAACAAACGGACTACAAATTTACAGACAGAGATGCGTGGTCTAGCGAAGAATCACCGCGAAAAGTAAATAGTGAACGATCGTGAATAGCGAGAAGTAGTCGAGCTGACTAAACAAAAGGGAGAATCAGGCCAATTTACGTTCGAGAAAAGTCAATGATAGGTTCTCGAGGCAGAAAATCGCTCGAGACACAGCGGCAAGGAACGGTGACACGGTTCGTTCTCGAATCGTTCACCGTTAACCAAACACACTCGATCTCTACTGACCTCTCTATGAGTTTACGCATCTCCTCGGTGGTCATGCCGTCCTTGCAGCGAGCATTCACTGAAATAGAAAAACACACGGCACGATTGTACACAACGGTAAACTACTACGACGACACGTAGCATGCAATCCGTGGGTGAAGCTAAACGATTAGATTACACAGACTCCGGAGCGAGTGCGTCTCGTTCATTCTTGTACGACAACGACACTCGCTCGGCATGCCTATTAATTCGCCTATTGCGTAAGAACGAGCAACGGGAAGAGATCGAGAGCGAACGGAACGCGTCGACGTCGACAGTGGATCGACGCGAACGGAAGCGACATCGACGTTGTTCGTCACTTCGGCTTCGTGTCATCGTCAACTTCGACTACGCCTGGGCGTTCAACCCTCTCGTCCCTCACTCGATCGCGGTGCTTTGTACTGACCGCCATAGTTGCGGTTCACGAGCTGATCGCGATCACATTCTGCTTCGCTGATTTCGTTGCTCTCTTTGCTGTCGTTGAAGCTGGAATTGTTCTGATCGTGGTTCCTTGGCGGGGGTGGTGGTGGTTCGGGTGATCCGGAAACGGGAATGTTGCGCGCCGAGCCTACGCTGCGACGTCCGACAGAACCGCGGGATCCGTAATGATCGTAGGGAGCACCGTATTGTCCGTATTGCGAGCCGTATTGATCCTCTTCCGGTGCGCAGTTTGCTGGGTCGTCGTATTCGGGTGAAAAGACGTTATGGGTGCCGCTGCCGCCTCCTTGGGATGGTACACGGGAGTAGCGTCCGTTTTGACGGGGCTGAAGCAAGTAGAATATCAAAATTAGTTGAGCCCTCCTTGAATAATAAATTGTTACGAGAACAGTAGTGTTTCCAATACCATAGACTGAGATCCAGAACGGCTATGGGCAGAAGCGTTTGTAGGGTGTCCAACAGGTGGTCCCATGGTGCCAGAGTGTCCGTTTCCAGGATGAGGGAAGGTCTGGAATTGCATAGCCTTGCTGGGGTCCATTTCCTCGCGGAATCCAAGTAAGTGGAAGGTCGCGTACGGGCAGATCTCATCCTCCATGCCTGAAAGAAACGATCACTCAGGGTAGACACTGTCATTTTAGAACGAATCCAGCTACTCTATTTATTGTACAAGATTATCTCGGTGCGTCAATGGCATTAGGATCTTTCCTTCTTTCGGCGAAACGCCTCTGAAACACGAGAGAATCTCACGCAGATGGGTTAAGACGCATGCGACATCACGACTATCACTAGAAATCATCGAGAGTACCTACGTATTACACATTCTTATGTTCTTTCCTCTTCTCTCGTTCTTGCTTCAAGGAGAAACATTCGGTAGGGGAAGTGTCATGCACTGTTAGTCTTATGATTAATGAGAAACACACCGGTCCTGCAACGTCCGCTCGATGCTTTCAAATCAGTCACAGATACGAAAGAGATAGATGTTCAAGTTCAAAGTATACAGGATGAGGCACCTAACACAAGCCATCTGAATATCTCAAGTTTGGTCTGACACATTTTTTCTATCACCAATAACAGCCGAGATATTCAGGTGACCTGATTTAGGTGCCTCACCGTGTATACAATTTTGCGACTTCAAGGCACGATGTATAAGTTCGAAACACGAGTGGACGATTAGTCCCGTAGAGAGAATGATGGAATGGAATCGAGAGATATGTTTTTTCTATGAGTGCGACGTGTTATATGTTTGCGAAATAAACGGGGTGCCAGCGCAAGCATGCGAGGGCGTGCAACATTAAAAGAGGGTGTAGAGGTCGCCACGAGACGGCGAGAACCGTGCGGAACGGTAGAAGACTTACGAAGACCGACCGCAGCAGCTGCAATTGGGGGGCCACGGTTTAGTATTTGTGGTCTCGCGGATAAACGAAGCCCTCGTCACGGCGAGACGAAGTAATTACGAGGTGCTTCGTTTCGGGTCTTTAACTACTTTTTACCAACCTCTGTGGGGTAGAGCCTCGGCACTGCCCATACGCGGCGGCGGTGGACATCTTCGGTTCGGCGGATAATGATTCAACTCCTCGTACATATGCCGTCTCGGATCCCACGTCGAGTGACTCCTTATCGAGCCTGTTCCACCTATCGAACATATACTACAAAGGTCGTACGACTCGCTGACGCTTACCAAGACTCGGGTATTGGCTCGCTGCCATTTTCAGGTGATTGTATCGTTTCGCTGGGGATACTGGGGTCATCGGTGATCACGGTACCATATACGTACATGGACACTTGGTACGCGGAGCGGTGTGATAAGCGCAAATCAAGGGGTGAAATTTTACCGTCATCGTAGGACATACATCTCGATACTTATATAGAGAAGAAACATTTTGAAGCGAGGCAAACAACGAAACAGAGAATAATTCGCAATGCCTATAATGAACGCGTGTAGGTATGGTGTTTGGGTGTATAGAAGATAGAATAGATACGGTGAATTTTGGCTTTCGAAATGATGATTCGCTTTTTTCTTTAAGGATATTATCGAGTAAAGGGTTTTCGTATCTGTTCTACCCGCTATTCGTGTGTTTGCTCGGTATCGAATTCGAGACTGTCTGGCAGTGGTGAAGTCTAACGTGTTTTCTGTGCGATCCGTATGTGTCGCGTAAAATAAAAACGGTAACACTATCGTGCCGATGCGACAACATCTAAACAATTAAATGGAATTCAGCTAAAAAAAATCATATTGTTGGCAGTTGTGGCTTACTTATCACTGTACCTCGCTTGATGCGATCGCAGGTGTTATAGTTGGATCCGGGTACGGGGGGCAGTTTACGGTTCGGGGGCGCGATGTAGCCGAGTTCGTCGCGAAGATCGGGCCTGCGTTTGTCGAGGGTAGCTCCGCCAACTCCGGTTTGCTGATACACCACATCGTCTGAAAAGAATCGATTCGCGTTAATTGCATCAGTCATAAATTAATTGTTTCGGTATTTGATACTTGATTGCACTGTCGGTCCACCGACACCTACGACAGGAAAATGGGTGAAAATCATTATTTTCCAAAAGTAGGTCGGCAAACTTGTGGATCGATCATCAGAAAAAGAACATTCTCGAGACTTATTCCTCCTCACGGGAATCGAAATTATAATCCGCTGTAAATCGTTCTGTATCCTACAGAGAATATTATCTTACTGATAATCATCCAACTTGTCAGTGACTTAGCTAGTTAAAAAAATAAAAAAAAGGTTGGTATACATTGTCCCTCGTAATATTTCTCGTCGGCTGATGAGATACCTCTCAGCCGTGTTTGTTCCGGGCCTCGAGTTCGCCTCGAAAGCGCGACGCAAATCACCGCTATCCCTACAATAGTCACTATAACCGTGGCTCCAACCGGCACCACAACGTTCACGTCGAGCCAGCTCGGTAACCAGGGGAAATAACGTCTTACGTCGGTGTTGTCGGTGTTACCTCCGTTCCGTACAGGTGGTGCGATCGTACCTGTTCGTCGCGATACAGTAACAGAAAAAAGAAAAATAGCTCTTAGTTACCTTTATCGCTACCATGGACCTTTCCTCTCAGAACGCAGATCACGATGAGGGCAACGATTGTTACGAGACCAGATGCCGCCACGGGTACGACCAGATTCAAGTTAGCCATAAGAATTTTCATCCGATCCTCGTCGTTGCCGCCACCGTTCACGTCCGGTAGCTCGCGGGCCGGTGCAATGGTGCCTGGAACAAAAATTAAGGCGACCATTCAATCCAGCCACCATTAGCACCGGCTACGAGTGCCCTGGCTTTCGTAACCACCCCTACTTACCTCCAGTTACGGTTAACGTCGCGAATTCGTACTCGGCCACCGCGAAACCAGCGTTATTGTGCGCAGTGACACGTAAATGGTACCAGCTGGCAGGGTCCAGATCCAGAACGACAAAGTTTCCGCTGGGTTTCACGTTGTTCGATACCTGATTCCATTCCTGTTGCTGCCTGAATCGTATCGAACGCATACAATTAATTTTCAATCGGATCCAAGGGACCTCAGTTCCTCTGTACACGGTGCTCTCTTACTTTTTCTTGTGTTCGACGACGAAATAGAGCATAGGGCAGCCACCATCGGACCAGGCGCTCAAGTGAAGGGTAATGCTGTTCGTGGAGACTTCGATGAACCTTGTGGCCTCAGGGATGATCGGTTTCGAGCCCTTGGTACGAGTGTTGAGCATGTCAGACGGATCACCAGTGCCAATTCTATGGAATATATCAAACATTAGAATTTCTATTTTGCTAAATAATATATACACTAGCAAATGGAACACGGAGGTTACAAATAAGTACCCGTTGTAAGCAGTAACGTAGATCTGATATCTCGAGCCACACAACAAGTTCTCCAGAGTGTATTTTTGAGCCGTAGAGCTGATCTGTGCGGTCGCCCATTCACCGAACTCGGGCTTGTAGTGAATCGTGTATCCGTGGATCGGAGCGTTGTCAGTGGGATGAGGGCGAAGTTTCATTGTCAACGAGTTGGTGGTCGTAGCGGTAAGGGTCACTTGTGGCGAGTGAGGTGGAGCTACAACGTAACATCGAAATTCCATCATTCATCCTTCTGTCTCATTGAAAACCAAACTGATCAATAAATCTCATCGATCTTACCGTGAACGATAAGCTGATGGGTGACAGTGTCGTGACCAAATGAATTCTCAACGTAGCAAGAATATTCTCCAGCATCAGTACGATCCACTTCCTTGATGAACAGAGATCCTTCGGGCAATTGTCGCAGTCTGTCGCTCGGTTGGAGAACGGCACCTCGTACTTTCCATGTCACTTCCGGTGCTGGTACTCCGACAGTAAGGCAAGGTAGTTTGACGTCCTCTTTGTAGGTAGCCGTGAATTTATCGTCGAATGATGCGATCTTTGCCGGAACTGAAATTCATGATCATCTTTCAGTAAAGTATAAGGTCATAAGAATGAGTAACAGGAAGTGAGGGGGTACCTCGAACGCTCGGTGCCAAAGATACAATTTTGGAAGCTTCTCCCTCGCCGATGTTTGTGCTAGCGGTTACCCAAAAGTCGTATCTGCGTTGCTTGTCCAGTCCAGAAGCCTCGTGAGTCAATTGGTTCGGTGGCACTTTCTGGCTAGTCGGTTCCTCGGTGTTGTCTGCCTTCGTGTAGACGGTATACTGGGCGATTACTCCGTTAGGTTGGCTTGGTGGGCGCCACGAGACCAGGATCGATTCGGCAGACATAACCAGAGCTTTGATCGCAATGGGTGCTTCGGGGGCTGTAAATACAAAGTATAAATTATGTTAAACATACTAACTCACTCTGTGAACAGTCACAGAAGCTGTCACCCACCATCTTGTTCAGTTTGACAGTGGATCGGTGCAGATTTAACGCCATCGCCGCCAGATGTGAAAGCCAGAACCTGCATACTGTAGTTGGTGTACTTCTTCAGTCCGTGTAAAATCGTTTCACTGGAGGAGGTGATCTTGGTGTCCTTGGTGTTCTCGTCGTACCAGGTGTCAGATGGTCCATAAATAACCTGAAATTAATCACTGTAGACTCTACTGGAACTTTTAACCAATATATCTGAAGTATACTAACTTTGTATCCGGTGATGACTCCGTTGGCAGCGCTCAGTGGGGGTGACATCCAGGAAACTCTGATTGTCTGAGACGTGAGGGTAGTGCAGGTGGTATCATGTGGTGGTTGTTCAGGTACTCCCTCGGCAGTATGTTGTCTTCTTTCCTCGCTCATTGGTCCCGATCCAACTTTATTGAACGCTTGAACGACGACGCTGTACTGGGTGTAGGTTTTAAGATTCATGATCTGCAAGTGGTGTTCCTTTCCATCTTCTTTGGAGAAGTCAACAGTCTCGAACATGTACGGTTTGTCGGAGGAAGATAGTTTGTAACCAACATAGTATCCAAGAATCTCGCCGTTCCAGTCCTCGCGTGGGGGTGGTTTCCATGTTACCTGAACAGATGCGCATTGAACCGATGGTAATCTCACTCATCTTCGAGTTAATCATGAGACACGCTACCTTTAATGTGTGCTGGTCAAGTGCATCAACGCGAACGGAGGTTGGTGGTCCAGTGGGTGCTTCCTCGGCAGTTATAATGGTAACGGTGTCAGACGGATCGGATGCGCCAATTTCGTTCTCAGCAACGATTCTGAGGTGGTAAGTGGTGGCGGGTCTCAGATTGAAAACTCCAGCGACGTTCTGTTGCGATCCGGGTACAAGTACTCTATCAATGTCAGTTTCCCAAGAACCCTTGCTGATCTTGTACTCGATTACGTAGCGTTTGATGGGACTGTTGCCGTCGTAGGGTGCTGCCCAGGACAATTGAACCGAACGTCCAGATTTGTCGAGTACTTTCAGGCCGTATGGAACTTCAGGAACCTCTGTAACGGATATCCGGTTCGTTATTACATCAAACATAATGACCCATCCACTTCAATTATTTCAGAATCGAACCTTGAACGATCATGTTGATGCTGGTGTCGTCGCTTCCGAAGGCATTGGTGGCCACACAGGTGAACAGGGCAGAGTCACTCCTCTCGGTTCTCTTGATGCTCAGGTCGGACAACACTCCATTAGCCAGAATCTCCTCTCGGATAGTGTAACGAGAATCGCTCTTCGGGTCCAGCCTCTTGTTGTTCATATTCCATAGAATGCCAATGGGTTTCTCGCCTTGCGCCTCGCATTGCAATACAGCCGGTTCTCCTCGTCGTGCAGTCTGATTCTTCAGTTTGATCTCAAAGTGGGGTGGTGCTGCAATTAAAACAGTCATATTTCATATTGTTCCTCTACGTTAGATAGAGATTCGAAGAACTGAACGGAACATACCCTGAACAGAGATGAGAATAACAGCCGAGAGTCCTGAGCCAATTCCGTTCACAGCTTCGCAGAGATAGTAGCCTTCGTTTGTCTTCTGAATGTTGTTAATCGACAAGGTTCCGTCCTCTACGCTAATGTCTGGGTTGCTCAGTTTCAAGTCCGTGTAATCGCCTGGTGTATCCCCTACGAAAAAACGATAAAGAGCATCGGTAAGTTTACGTATTTCAACGTGACTGTTGATATAAATATAATTACCAGCTGCTCTCTTCCATGTGACTTGAGGCTTGGGGAAACCGTCGGCTTTGCATTCGACACGCGCGTCAGATCCCTGAGCGAATGCCTTATCGGTAGGTTCCAGGATCCAGCGGGGTGGTACTGTTACAGAACGAACGGGTTATTCAACGTGCTCTCCGGGCGCATCCACCAATCGGCAGTTAATCCGGGAGACAGTCGCATCGTGAGCTCGAGTCTCCAGAATTCTTCTGGAAGGACTTCTGCATTATTATTTTACATTGTGCAATCCGAACGTTTTGTTTTCTTCGCGGCCGTCCTTAGGAGACTGGAGTCACGACAATCGGTTTCGCCGCGTGCTGAGCGAAACGCGACTCTCTCCCGCAACTGCGGCAAACATTGCGATGATTCGACATGCGGGAGATACTTGAGATGATTATGCGGGTGACTACTGCACACGAACAGAAATAAAGAAGGTCAACAGGCATATAGAGAGAGAGAGACTGCGGTCGCGGGCTCTGAAGGAGCTCGCGCAACGCGTCCATGCAAGAGACACTACCCATGATACTCGAGCACGGTCCATCATGCTGCTGGCACCGTTCGTGAAAAGTGATCTTTAGGGTTAGTCTAGCGGGGGAGGGTAGAAAGGCATGCGTGTTAGAAAAATATCGACTATTGCTACGTATGCATGTACACAAAATGAACGAGGCGAGACGTGTGGTGAGAGGCGTGAGGTGGGGTGGGGGCAAGGTGAGGGGCTAAGGTGTTCTTTCTAGGTGGTGACGAAGGCACAAGGTCGAGAGGGTTGATTGGATGGTCGGTCGGTCATCTTGGAACAAGGAGACACGTTGTAGCGCGACGGGGGTACGGTGAGGCGTTTTGAAATCGACACTCGAACAAGTAATCACGAGAGACACAACAGCTATCGATCGTAGGACCCAAAGAATTTCGCCGAGTGATCGCGACGATCCAACGAAGGGTTGTTTGGTACGGTGAAGAGTTACATGTATCACGTGGAGAGTATACGACGGGACTCGAGTCGCGCTCGATCAAAGAGAAGCACGAGAGTCGGTGTGTAGCCTATCATGTGCCTGGATCTGTTTGTCGCGGCCAAATGAACTCGGAAGCCAGCGAAAATGTGTCGTCGAAGAGATTATGGCGACGATGAGCGTGACAACGAGACAAGGGAAATCAAACGAGGCGAAAATACTTAGCCACAAGATACGATGCGGGTCAAGCTCAACCAACTTGCTGGGGGCGTGGCGGGGGTCGGGCGACACGTACGGGGACACTCCGAGCGTGACTTTTTTTGCGTTTGCTACTCGGCTGAAAAATACAGGCGAAACCAGACAGGGAGAATAGAGAGACGCGAAAGAAATTGAAATAATATACAGAAATTACCAGATTACAGAGGAGGAGGCAGAGAGAGAAAGAGAGACAGAGAGAGAGAGAGATAAAGAGTACAATAGTATATAGACAGAAAAAGAGAGAGAGAGAGACATAGGAACGGCGCGCAAGAGAGTCGTCCCCGGCGACGAAAGCAACGCACTCTGTTAATGGTCAAACTCTTCCGCTCGGAACTGAAATCCAGAAAGCTTCCGCAAGGTAAACACGACAGCTTCGGCAACGACGAAGATGCATCAATCAAGCCTGCAATCAAATACTCTGAACGGGCCCGTCGCGGTTGCTTTTTATTCATTCCGACTTATTTCAATTCATCGTTCATTATCATTAGTAATGTAAATAATTCAATGCTGCCCATTAACTCTGGCCCTAACCGTGAACTCGTAACGTCGCCTCGTGCGCCACCTTGCCCGACGGATTACTAGCGATACAAGTGTAACGTCCAGCGTGCTCCGGCGTTACCGGCTCGATCAGCATGATACTCGTCCGTGGGCCGAGTTTCCCGATGCTGTACCCCATGAATTGCGACAGGGGTTGATCCTCGTGGGTCCAAGTAATATTGATGGGTGTGTCGCCGAGCAGCACCATACACGCCAATTGAGCGGCCTGGCCCGCATAGATCGGTTGATCCCCAAAATCGAACGGACTGATCCGCGGCAGGACTGGAATGATAGGCTCAGGCTAGATCCACGGGGGTACACACACGATCCTTGCGATCCCGTTTCACCGATCCGTTTCATGGCAGACTTCGACCGAGTCCCCGTGTACTCGTGTACATTAATTCAACGTTGTATGTACTTTTCATCGGTTCGTTGGTTCCCTACGGTCCCGCGAGCGACTCTCACACGGTTCTTGCCTTTCGACGGATCTCTCTCGTTAGCGCTCTCCTCCTCTCTGTGGTACGAAAAACCTACTTCACCGCGTTCCTCTTGTCGTCGCGATGCGTATCGGGTAAACGCCTAGCCGCGGCGATTGGCCCATGGACGAAACGATTATCCACCGGGGAATCTCCGTTCGCTAACGAGATACTCGATATTCCGTCAAGGATCAGAGAAAGGATACGAGAAGAGAGACAGAGTAACAGACAGACAGATAGAGAAAGAGACAGAGATAGACATAGAGATACAGTGTGTACGGGGGCGGGTTCGTGTCCTGCGTGTACAATGAGAAATGAAGAGAGATCGGACAGGTTGAAAGAATTTTTATAAGGCGGGCAGCTCAGCTCGTCCTGAACTATGGACAAAAATTACCTTTCGATCATGTTTGCCGAGGGATAACGAGAGACAGGGACTGTGGTCCAAATGCTACACTCGGCGGAGCGACCTACCTAAACGATGATGCTTCGAAACAAACGATGATGCGGGAGGATAATTATATGTATATATATATATATGTAAGAAAGAAAGATGGACAGTCGAGCGGATGCAGACTTCCAAACGTACTTGTACATATTTATGTATATGCTATTACAACAATCAACAGCAGACAGTAGAGTGACGACACGGTTCGTTCTTTCCAATAATTATATTACGACTACTACTCGAACTACGGACTGCAACAAGAACGATTTGCAATATATATATATATATATATATATATATAAAACAACATCGTCACTTGTGGCCGATCTCAACGTAACGTCAACAACGCATTACAACGTATGTATGTATGTATGTATGTATTTTGGTCTGGCTTGGTTACGCGTACACGCCTCGTTTAAATACATCATCATGCCTTGATCGGTCTCGTTTCCTTCTCAAATACTACGGTAATCCATTGGTTTGGTCGTGTATTCGCGACTGGTGCCACGAAACACATGTCTGTCTGTCCTTGTGTGTATGCATGAGTTATAATCACGTTTCTGTACCGTTCACTTTGAGATGGGCGCTGTGCCTAGCACGACCGGCTGGATTATCGGCGACGCAAGCATACTCCCCGGCGTGTTCTCCCCTGACGGCGGGGATCGTCAGCGCGGAGACTCGATCCCCCAACGCGGTGATACCAACTCCGTCGCCTACTTCTAAATGGCGTCCCTCGAACAACCACTTGAGCGAAATCGGCGTGTCCCCTTTTACGACCGCGCAATGGACGATTATCAGATCGCCGGAGTTGGCCTCGTCGAACGAGAACGGCTGCAGATGCGGGGCGACTGCCGGTAGACAGAGACAAACGGACTTCTAGAGTCAGGCACAAGATATAACAAGAGGAACGGAAGAAAATAGACGTTTTCGTTTAAGCACAGCAAGATTTAACGAGCCGAGATCTCTCTCGCGCGGGACAGTGATTTCATTCCATTCTCGCGAATTAAACGACCGAATATGGCTGGAACGCAAAAATTACACGCCTGAATATCGGTGGAGAAATGTTTCAGATTTCACGATAAAGTATTGTGTGACACACAATATATATTGGGATGTGGTTTTGTTTGAGGGGCAATTTTGGTCCTTTGGAACTTGTGCAAAGACACATTGCTTCGAACCGTTTAGCGTCTACTTATTTTGAACTTCCAGTGTTCACACTGACAACCGAAGCCGGGCTGACAGGTTCTTAATGACGTACTGTTCTAGACGTACTATAAGCCTGTTCTTGAATTTTCGAAAAATATCAATTATTCTTCTAGATATCATTCCAAAGCTCTTGTAAGACAGACTGTAAAATTAAAATAGGACCGGACACGATATGAAGCGATTTGAACCAATTGAAAATTGGACAAAATATCGAACGGTAAAAAGTGAAAATAAAAAAGGGACGTTTTACTCAAGCAAGGACGACTACAGGCGAACTGGGATGTTGGAAAAATAATAGGGACAAGATGCGACGTTCGAATTTGATCAGTGATTATTTAAGCACCGTTCACAATCAAATCGGCCGATAGCTCGTGCCTTCCGACAAGATTTTCCGCGATACACGTGTACGTTCCAGCGTGCGTCGCCTGGACGGATCCTATGCTGAATATAGCGCCCCGTCCGCCAAGATCCACTATGGAGATCCCGGAGTGCGGCGAAATCGCATGACCGTTTAAGGTCCACCGGAGCTTCAAGGGTTGATCGCCCTCGACCACGGCACACGGTACCGTTACTACCTGACCGGAGTTAAGCGGTGTCTCGCCGAACGAGAACGGCAGTAATTTCGGAATTACTGGAAATAGAACAGACAGAATGGAACTGAGAAAACGTCCTGCGATGATGGTCACGCAACCCGCTGGAGGGCCCAGCGGACGAGGAAACCGCGTTACGAAAGCCCGTTGTGGGTTTCATTCGAATTCCGTGTACCTGTTCCTTGAACTACACCTGCTACACGCGACAAAACTGAAGAATTATAAAAGCAAAATGGAACGTAACAGAAGAAACGAACGAAAAAGAACCAAGTTCAACGAAAGAAAAACCGTCGAGAGAAGTCTACCAATTGAGAAACATCGGGAATCAATGGGAACGTGACGATATGCGTTGGGAGTGTGACGTACAGTACATCATCGATGAGTGTTTGCAGGTTCCTCGGCATTGAATATTAATCAAGTGCTAAACCTCCTTGAAAAGTCAATGTTACACCTGGGGACTTTTCTTTGTTCATTGCCGGGGAGTCTTCGAATTTCGGGAATCAATGGGAACGTGACGATATGCGTTGGGAGTGTGACGTACAGTACATCATCGATGATTGTTTGAAGGTTCCTCGGCATTGAACATTAAATATTTCATAAACTAATGGTCATATGTGGCTGAAATAAATATCATTCAACACTA